CCTCCTTTGAGGGTCTGACAGGTACTACTTTCCCTCCATCTCCTCTCTTGGCACCGTTAGTTGTTCCCATTTGATTTTCAACCAGACCCACTCCCAGCCAGGGGAAAGGGCCTTTGGTTGTTCCCCTGGACCCGACCTCTTCATATACCTCTTTTTCCTACAGCCTTTTCAAACTGCCCTGTCACCACTCACTTTCTCACTTTTTCTCATGCCCTCGGTTCCTCTCTTTGTCGAACAGAGGTTGTTACCCTCCTTTCCATCCTTGCCTTTCCAGGCTGGAACTCACCACTTGGCCCTGCAGGAAAGGGTCCGCATTCAGGCAGGGACGTTGTCAGGCCTGCCTTCATTCTCTCACCACAATATATGGGAAGATTTTATAGCATTCATTCTAGTGAAAGGGAAAGGTCAGGCACCAGTAGAAGGAACATGACAATTCTGGAAGGGACAAGGGGCTTTGTAGTGAGAAAGAGGTGGGTGAAAAATCTGCTCTCAGTTTCTCTGGGCCACTTTGTGCCCAACTTCAGTGCTCTGTTGTGATGCTTAGATATTCCCTATTTTATTTTAAGCCCTCTGGGTTTCACTCAAAAAGTATGGTCCAAGGCTGAATGTTTGTTTGTTTTAAAGCATTTTTACCCCCTCTGTCTTTTTTTGGGAGGGTAAGGTTGAAAAAGTGTTTTCCCCCCACACACACTTCTAAAGGGCTCCAGTAGCAATGGTTTTTATATTATGCAGGTTGGTGACCAGAGCCCCCAGACCTCCAAAAAACCTAATAAATTGACAAGAGAAGTGGCTGGAGTTTCCCTTCTCCTTCTATTTTAAGTGCGCACCGTGCTGGCTGGGTGCCAGGGGCAAAAAAAGATGCCCACCGTTGCCCTCCACTATACGTCCTAAACTGTCCTGGTCACGCTCTCTGAACGCTCCTTTGGCCATTCTCCCCAGTGCCCTCGTGCTGATGCTGGGGAACCTGGTGGAAACAAAAGCCTTGCCCAACCAAGAGCAGGAGAGCTGTGATGCTGCTGCTCTTAATCACCCAGTCCAGAGCACAAATGACTGGTATAGCCCTGGTCTAGCTTGGACTCGTGTCATTGTGGCAACCATGGAAACGACTAGGGCCTAGACTGTTTACATGGTTGCCACAGTGACTAGGCTCTAGAACCCAGCAGAGCAACCACCAAATTTTGAATGAAAACCAGTTTAAGCCTTCACAGGACTCAGGGTTAGCTATGTAGCCTGGGCTGCCAACTGCATTCCTGACTTGGCTGCTGTGCCTAGAAGCAGCAGCCTGACTGGTGGGAAGCCTTTTTTTGAGACTCTCTCCAACATTGTCTAAAGATCACGTTCACTTTTCACAAATACAAAACACAAGTTTCTTTTTTGCTTCCCTTCTCCGCATGCTGAGCCACTTGGCTCTTCTTTTTCACTTTCGCTACCAGCCCATTAGGAAAGTTCCTCCCCAGTATCTCCCAGAATAAAAGTTCCTGAGATAGCAAGGGGTGATCCTGGATATCTGGGCTGGGCTGATGGGTGTGTGTGTGTGCTCCCTTGTTTTTCCCACCAGGAGGGCCAAGGGCCAGAGGTGGTCTCTTGAGTAGCCTGTCTCCATGAATCCCCAGGTCTCTTGTCTCTGTGTGAACAGTGAAGACTTCCACCCCATCTTCTGCATCCCAGATCTGGATCTATCCCACATCATATACCATGCCTTAGGGGATACCCATTATTGGAGGGGTGTGACTTGTTTTTTAAAAGAAGCCTCCTAATATATGTGGCCAACACTTAACAGCCTTGATCAGGCCCGTCCCACGTAGTGGTCTAGTCTTGAAGAAAGATGCAACAGCCTTTCCAGTCAGCCTTTGGACGTGGGATGGGAGGGAACGCCATCTTGTTCTTTGTGATACTCTTTTGGTCAGCCTGAGATGTGCAACAGAAACACATGATCGTGCACTTCATGGCAACACTCAGGGTCAGTGCAAAGGGGCAGCATCTGGTTTGTGGCAGATTTCACATAAAAAAATCATGTGAATCCATGGCTTGGATCCATGTTTTCTCCTACTTCAAAGCCATGCATTGGACCCATAATTTCTGTGTTGTATTCTGTGGGATGTGCCTTATGATTGGACAATGGTTTGGGGATGATCTTACATCAAAATCATGTAGGTCCATGAGGATCTGTGCCTGAGATCCATGTTTTTGCCCCACTGCAGTGGTGTTTTTTGAAGGAGCCATGATTTGTAGTCTGTGGGTACAAATGGGGCTTACTATTTGATAGTGGTTTAGGGGGCAGATCCCACATTAAAACCCTGTGGATCCATGTGAATCTGTGCCTTGGATGGTCATTTTTGCACCACAGCAAAGCCATATACACGCTGAAGGGCCCATTATTTCTATAGTGCAATCTGTGCCACAGATGAGGCCTATGACTGGACAGTGGTTTGTGAATGATCCATGTGAAAATCATGTTGATCCATAAGGAGCTGTGCTTCTTAAACAAATTTTTGTGCCAACGCAAAGCCATGCACTGAAAGACCTATGATTTATGTGGCGTAGTCTGTGGGTGCAAATGGGCTTTTATCCGATAGCGGTTTAGTGAGGATTGCATCAAAAATCACATGAAATCATGAGGGTCCATGTCTTGGATCCATGTTTTGCACCACTGCAAAGCCATGCACTGAAGGATCCGTGATTTTTGTGGTGTAGTCTGGGGTATATATGGGATCTGTGATTTGATGGTTTGGTGAGGATCCCACATAAAATCATATGAAATAATAAGGATCTGTTAATGATTTAATGGATCCACCTTTCCTTTTCTCCCTTAAGAGGACTTCTATTTGCCCTACTCATGGACATGAGAAATCTTCCCAAAGCTGTTTTAGATTGGAGTAATTTGGGGCATAGTTTTTAGCTGCTTTGGTTCTTGCTTCCATTGAGACATCACTTGTTATTTCATGTTTTAGTTCAATTCTTCACTTGATCTTCATTGATGTTATCCTGTTCTTGTAACTTTCAGTAACTGCACTGAAATACTTCAATTTGAAGAGCAGAATAGGTCATGTTCTAAACAAGCTGGGGACAATTGGGGGCCTGAGTGCTTAAGGCCCTCAACCAGATCTTATGCACCACTCAGCCTAATTTCAAAAGCCCTCTACAAGTGGTCAGTAGCAGTCTTCTTCAAAAACGACCACTCTCTTCCTAGCAATTTGTTAACTGAGGAGAAGTAAAGGGAAAAAAGAGAGATAAGGGAATAGCAAGAAAGGTGGTGTTACATACAGCACTGATGTTACCTGTCTGTCATGGGTTTGGAGGGAAAGTTCCATCCTATGGGGAGTGGAAGGCGGGACATCAGGAGGAGGGGCTGTACTGTATAAATATGTGATGCGTGTGTGGAGAAGCTAAGCAGACGAAGCAGCAGCTGGGAAGAAGGAGTTGGTGTGGGAGTCTGTGTGTCAGACAGGGTACTACTGTGTGTCAGAGTACCAACCTGATAGGTTCAGGTGTCTGTTGGTTAGCCAGAACTGATAGGTTCAGGGTCTGGGCTTTAAGTTAAGGTTCTGGGTGAACCAAACTGTATGCTTGTATGAGTGAGAATAAGCCACGTTCCTTTATGTTATTCACCTGATTGTTTTAATTACCCTGTGTGTATTTAAATAAACCTTATTCTTTTTATTGTTTAAAAATCCATCCCTGGTCTGTGTGACTTCTTACAGGGAATGGTTGGTGGCAGCTTAGTGTAACTGTGTGACACATCCCAGTAGGTCTGGGTTTGTCACAGGTGGAAGAAGAGAGAACGAGATTGAGAGAAAGGGTTGGTTCATGTTTTTTCCCCATCACTGCTTCTTCATTCAAGTCTCATCTGTCAGCATGCCACTCCTGAATTAACTCTTGACAGATAAGGCCCTTGGCTGAAATAAAGTTGTGGACCCCTGCTCTAAATAATGAACAAAACCCATGAGAAAGTCCCACTGTGTTTAATGCTGCTCCTTCCAAGTAACAGCAGAACCCTAAGCACATTTACTCACAAATCATTCTTACTTAGGTTTAGGCCTGCACCTGTAATGTTCCTAGGATCAGACTTTTGTAGCGTACCTTGCCAGCAAGGAATTTCCAACTCCCCAAGCTTCCCCTGGTGGCCAACCACTTTTCTTCATCACACCATCGTTTTGCGGCTGCCCAGCTTTTCTGAAGGTTTTTCATAATTCTAAAAGGCTGAAATGTCTCTTCTAAGGCCCAGTTACTGGCAATGGGAACTTTAAAATATATGGGTATTTTTTAATCCCCCCTGTTTGCCAGTGACACTGCCTTCCACTGAAAGGCTGCCCTTTCTCCAAATTCTGGAACTGAATTCAGCCCTTGGGCTCATCTGGTATATAACTCAGTGTATCATTAAACATCAAACTGAATATCCAAATTTGCTGCCACAACTGCAAATGCATTCTAGGGATGCCTTTCTATATATTCTCTCTCAAAATACTAGGTTTTACTTGATATTGTTAAGACCTTTATTTTTGAAGTCTTAAGTCTTCCTTTTATTAAGTGAGGAAAACTGGAGTTCTGATTCTGAACTTCCATTGTTTTTTCTACTTCATGCTCCATTTCCCACATGCATCCACCCACATCAACACCCACATGTGTCATTACTTGAATCAAAAGGCTTTTAGATTTCTAGTACTCATCAGTACAGTATACTGAACAATACAATATTCAGTGCTAAATTAGACATGATATATTTAATGTCCGTAAGGCAGTAATTTAGATCCAATATGAAAGTATTAAATATCTTGCAATATTCTACCTTTCTACTTTCTTTCCCTTAAAAATATTTTTAAAAGAGTCTACAGAGAAGAAATTATGAGGATTTGAGGATACTTTGGATCATCTGTGGGCACAGATATTGCTGAATCTTACATATTCTCGAAGTATACAAACCACCTCATTTTATCAACTAAATAATTAGCAACATCCATTTTCAGCCAAGGTCTTTTCCCTCCATTAACTCAGAGTTGCTACAAACTTCTTCTACAATGACATTTAAGATTATCTATGAATTGTCTTCCTTTTAAATGAGTAATAGCATTCTCTACTTATTATATTAATTAGTCTGCTTGCACATATTCACCTTTCAGTTGAAAGGCATCTGTCATCCACCCTTCACTGATCACAGATTGTCAATAAAACACACCAGGATAATTTGCATTTGAAATTTTAATAAACTGTTGCCTCCTCCTCCTCCACAAAAATATCTATCAAAATCTGGGAACATCCAGACATAGCTGGTTGCAAGGATATTGCCTCTCCTTCCAAAAGAGCTTTGAGTTTTCTCCACAAAACCCAAACTTTCTGTGGTCCCAGGGGAAACAAACCTGCAAAAACTGGACACCCAAGATAGCAGCAGAGGGAAATGAAGAATAAAAGTGCTTTCTGAATATCCTCTATCACATTTCTCCAGAAGAGTCCAGCAAAATTTCTGCGTGCCTTTCTTCCCCAGTCTAGGCACTCAGCATAACCGCAGCTAAGCAGCGCGACCAGACGTTCCTGGAATCCAACAAGATTCTGTCTACCCATGGTTGGCTGAGTTCTCCTCAAAAGTCATCATCATCACATATATCCAAGTAGACATCAAAGGCCTCGCGGTTGCAATTGCCATCAGGTGTGAAGACATATTTGTGGAAGGTGCCATCTATGCAGACAGCTGTAGGAGTAAAAAGACAATAACAGGACCCCTGAGAATTTGATCCCCAACAAGAGATTCTGAGGTGGAAAATCCAAAAGTCACCCTTCCATTAGCAAGAGGTTTAAACTAAAAATAACAGGCCATTAATTGCTCTTAAGCAGTACCCAACATTCACAACCTAAGACGGACCAAGATGGCTGTGGGCCATGGGTTATAATGGCCTCACAAGAGCTTTGGGAGTGGCCAATGTGGGCCACAAAATGGTTAGCACCACTCACCGATGACTGAGTTGACGTTCTTGGAGGTGTTTCTGCCAAAAGCACAGATGCAGGCGGACTCGGCTGGCACCGTGAAGCTGGCCAGACTCCACTGAGAATCCACGTACTGACCTATCATGGGCCCAACTTTTCCCACACGCGCCAATCTACAAAATGGGGCGAAGGAAGAGGAAGTCAGAATGGCACAGAAAGCACTGCTTCCCTCCTGAAAGGGTTGACCGTGCCACTTACGCTGAACGGCGGTTTAAGCGGGTGTCCTTTAGGGCAAAGATGTGGACCGTTCCCTTGTCACTGGAAGCACAGAGGAAGGAAGAGTCGTGGCTGAAGTTAATGCTGTGGGCAAAGGAGAAGGGTGATGTGGCACTTCAGACTTCCTTGGTATATGACCCCACCCATGTGTCCCCATAATGGCAACGCCCTGTGAGAAGGGCAGGATATGGAGGCGCAACCAACACAACACAATATAATAAAAACGGTCAAAGTGGTTCAACCCCAGAAAATAATCTGACCCCACCGTGTGCTTACAAAAAGGATATTTTGTCATTATCTCTTAAAACAGACTTTGTGAAACTCCCAATCTTCTCTGATGAGGAACCATTTGAGGCAGTAATGTTCAATCTGCAATCAAGGCATCAAGAGCAGTCTGCAGCATAAGATCACGACAATACAACAGGCACTGCTACGCTGGCACACCTGGCCTGCATTACTGGGACAAATCTGTCAAGTTGGCTCTGAACAGGATCATCCCAAATCGCAGACATAAAAACACAAGTAGGATCCAAGAGGTACAAGACCCATTCAGTTCAGCATTCTCACTCCACTGAGAGCCAGGAGGAAGTCTATCAAGTCTTACATTCAGGGTATTTCCTACAGCTACCAGTTTTTGAACCAGCCACCATCAGGTCACCTGCTGATAACTGTTCAGGGGAGGAGCTTTCAAGGGCGGGATGAACTTTTCCCTCATTACTTATTATTTTAACTGAGTGTCTTTTAAATGGTTTTTAATTGCACACTGCTCCAGTATAATAACTTAATGTTCTAAATCCTACTGCTGTTTGTGTAAGGTTTATGTAACCTGTGTTACATACAGCTATGACATCACCCGCCCGTCACTGCTGAAGCTGTGTGTCATCTACCAATGGCGTGACGGAGAGTGGGACATAAGGGGTGGAGCTGTTGTATATAAGGGGCGTGAATGGTATGAGTGATTCAGATAGGGCTTTGAGATAGGGAGTTAGGGATGGTTAGGGCTTGGAGATACTGAGAGATAAGAACTGTGCTACATAGTGAGGGTCTGTGAGAGTGTGTGTGTGAGTGTTATATTATTATAGTGATTAAAGTATTATTTATATTCAAGTGATTTACCATTCCTTTTGTTTGTATACAATAAACCTAAGTTTTTATTTTGAAATCATACTTTGGCCTGAAGCTTCATTTGAGGGAATGGTTGGTGGCAGTGGAAACTAAGAGTGATTGGGTGTGACGTAACGGCCCCTTTGTGAGGTATAAGGTGGCTGTTACAACCTCAGCAGCTGAAGGCAGCTAAATGTGCCTTTTAGGAGAGTGTGTCCTGGTCACATGCCTGGTCACTCCCACAACAGTGCAAGTGGGGTGTGCCCCTGCACTCTGCTAGTTATCTACAATTAGCCACAGTGAGTTACACAGAGATTATGCAAACACATAATAGAATTCTGGCCAGTATTAAAACAGTATTCTTTTATAAACAGTGTTTGGTTTTTCAGTTATACTATAAGCTATCTTGGGTCCCCATTTCTGGGAGAAAAACTGGGATATAAATCGAAGGAAGGAAGGGAGGGAGGGAGGAAGGAAGGAAGGAAGGAAGGAGACTCTTTGGTCCTCCAGATTCTGAACTAGAACAATCATAGACCTCATGAGCATAGGCCATGCTAGATGGGGCTTCCTGAAGGTGGAAGTCCAAAACATCTGGAAGCCTAAAAGTGTTATTCATATTTGCTCTATCAATACCTTGCTCTGATCCAAACAGCAGGAGAAAACTCCATGTCATGAAATATTTCAACTGCTGATCACTGTATTCTACAGCCAGTCATGTCTCTTTATTATTTTAACATTTATCTGCTAACGGGATTTCAAAATTTAAATTTAAAAATAAAAAACCTTAAAGACACAGCACCCAGCAGGCCACTTGTTAGATCACATGAACATTTTTCCCACTGTTTGTTTCCGACAGAGTGCCAACTAAACAGCAGGCTCTAGAACAGGGGTAGGAAACTTTTGGCTCTCCATATGGTATCGGACTACAGTTCCCATGAAACCTCACCACTGGCTATGCTGGCACAGGCTCATGGGTATTGGGTGCAAAAATATCTGGAGGACCAAACATCCCTCTCCTGCTCTAAAATAAAGCATATGCCTTATATGGCTTGCACTTATAGTACAGAACAAGTTAAGTAACATGAAAGAAGGATAGTTTAAGCTGAAAGTAGTTGTGTTTTCTTTGAAGGAAAATGCCCAAATAGAATATTGGTACAGAAAATGCAGATTAAAAACCAGTGCTCGAAGGTCTGTGCTCCCATGTATCTAGTTCTAAATCTCTGTTTCGAGAGTTGAGTGCTGGGCATGGTAGATCCAGGTTCAATTCTCGCTAAACCCTGACTCCCACTGAGCAAGTTTAGGCCAGTCACTCTCTCAGCCAGCTCTACTTCCCACTGTTATTGTGAGTATCAGAGGAAGGAGAACCATATACAGTGGTGCCCCGCATAGCGACGATAATCCTTTCCAAAAAAATCATTGCTATACGGATTCGTCGCTATGCGGGGCAAAGAAGCCCATAGGAATGCATTGAAACCCCTTCAATGCATTCCTATAGGCAAAAAACTCACCGTTCTGCAGAAATCCTCCTTGTGGCCGCCATTTTCGCTGCCCGGTATGTGAGGAAAGTGCGTGAAAACACTGTGGGCGGTCATTTTTTTCCGGCGGCCATTTTGGAACTGCCGATCAGCTATTTTTAAAACATTGTTATGCGATAATCGGTAAGCGAAACACTTACCGATCATTGCAAAGCAATGTTTTCCCATTGAAAACATCTTTATGCGATGGATTTTGCAATCTCAAAAACCTCATCGCTATGCGGATTCGTCATTAAATGAATCGCTCGTTATGCGGGGCACCACTGTATAGTTCAGATCTCTGGAGAAAACTGAGATGTAGGTGTAATTCAGAGATAAACAAAGATAAGTTTTTGGCTACCACATGAAAACAAGCAATACTTTGTTGGTGCCATGCACCAGTGTAATGAAGCTGGTATATTTTCCATCACCACAGTGTCTCCAGCACAGGGCAGTGCTTCTTCAAAAAAGCCACTTCAATCAAATACTTGCAAATACTCCAAAGGACAAGAACCTAAGCAGTTGTCAGATCTTTGGTCCATCTAGCCCAGAACCCTGCACCTTGAGAAGCAGTGGCTCTCTTGGTGTCTCAGGCCAGATCCTTTTCTGCTTCTACCAGGAGGCCCCTAGTATTATTATTATTATATTATTTATTTATTGGACTTATATACCGCCCCATAGTGCTACAAGCACTCTCCGGGCGGTTTACAATTTTTAATTATACAGGCTACACATTGCCCCCCCAGCAAGCTGGGTACTCATTTTACCGACCTCGGAAGGATGGAAGGCTGAGTCAACCTTGAGCCGGCTACCTGGGATTTGAACCCCAGGTCGTGAGCACAGCTTTAGCTTGCAGTACAGCGTTTTAACCACTGCGCCACGAGGCTCTTCCCATCCAAGCACTAATTAGGCCTGGCACTCCTTTCAAAACTAGATGAGAGTAGATGTGATTAAGGCAGCATCGCAATACAAACAGTGACAGGCTGAAGTTGCTGCTGTCCATTCCCTCCACATGTGCTCTTATCCATGCTTTTCTCCAGCTGCAGTGACCAGCAAGTACACCATTTTTGCTTTATGAAAACAGAGCAACAGTTGAGCAATAGCACTGTGGAGGAATAGGTGTTCATGTATGGTGTGTGTACCTCTAGCATACTCAGAGAAGTGGTCTCTGGGGAGCTATCTGAGAGTAACAACCTGTGTTTCGTTAAGGCAGAGCGAGGCTGCAGTGACCAGCAAGTACACCATTTTTGCTTTATGAAAACAGAGCAACAGTTGAGCAATAGCACTGTGGAGGAATAGGTGTTCATGTATGGTGTGTGTACCTCTAGCATACTCAGAGAAGTGGTCTCTGGGGAGCTATCTGAGAGTAACAACCTGTGTTTCGTTAAGGTGGAGGGAATTCTCACCAGTACAAGGTAGCTGGGTCAGTTCCTCTCCTGAGCTCCACGAGCTTCTCCTTGGTCTGTGTGTCAAAGAGGCGGATGAGAGTCCCTTTCTTAGAGGCTGAGGCCACAACGGTGCCCTGCTGGTTAAGGGAGATGCAGGCAATCTCGCTCTGATGGGCATTGATGGTAAACGGAGCAGATGAGGTCCCAGGCTTGGTACTGGAAAGATCCTAGAGAAGGACAAGTAAACATTTAAAAGAGCATCCAAGGCAGGAGTGAGTTCAGACGACATTCCCTGATTTTCTAACCAGGGTCTGCAAGGGCCAAGAGCACAAACAGGCTTGCATGCTCATTTTACACCCAGAGTTGCACCCAAATTCATTCCCTATCTTCCTGTTTTCTACAAGCCATGATTTGCCTGCAAACTGAAATTTATTTACTGAATTTCTGTCCCATCTTTCTGTCCCCTCAAAATGGCACACAGGGTAGCTAACAGCAGGAACAATCAAATAAAAGCCAATACAAATCAAGACCTGAAGGTGCTTTCCAGTTCTGCCTCACATCAAACCAAGGTTCACTTACTTCAACTTCAGGGTCAAAATAGAACTAGACTAAATTAGAAAGGCAGCATAGAGAGGGGCAGCAGGGAGCG